GTGTGTGTGTGTGTGTGTGTGTGTGTGTGTGTGTGTGTGTGTGTGTATGAATACATGCATGTGAATGCCCATGCCAGAGGAGGCCAGAGGCCTTGCAGTCCCCGGAGCTGGGTCTTATAGGCAGTTGCAAGCTAACTGTTGTGGGTGCTGGGAACCAAAGTCCAGCCCCCGAGTCCATCTTTTCAAATGCTGTTTAAATTAATGTTAGTTAGTAAACGGTCCTGGCGCTCTTACAATTATTTGAAAGCCGGTCACATTGCCAGATCACTGTGGCAATGTATCTTATTTATCGAGCCAAATTATGGAAAATCAGACATCTACTTCCTACCAGGCATGTACCGAGAATTTTAACGTCTTATTTTAGGTTTTTATTTGTGAAAATAAATCACAGAAGTGTTACTGATTTCAGAAGTCATTTGTTGGTTTGGCACCAGCCCATGCCCTGATGTTGGTTTCACGTTGTAGTCAGTATTGTTTGTTTGTGCCTTTACCAGAGCGTCACGTGCCCATTGCCGTAAAGGTAGGAGACACAGAAAGTGTGAGGCGTTGCTGATTTCGCCTAGGAGGAATGTGAAAGTGAATCAAGCTGACCAGTCAGGATTAGCCTCTGCTCTGAGCACCATGGGTCAACGCAAGGGCCTTGCTCTGTCTCCTCTCGGCCCAGTCCATTTGCTTCATATATTGTCTATAATTACTTTTGTGCTATGAGCACAGTAGAGGCAATGGGCCTAAAAGGTATGAAGTAATTATGTCCCACCGTTGGTATAAAACCTTAACACCAGTGACACCAATCCCTGGTGTAGGAGGAAGAGACTTAGAAGGTCATTTTTGCTTTTGTATTTTTGTTTTGAGGGGGGTAAAAAGTGTATTTACTATTACACTTCTCAGCCTGGCGAAACGAAGCTTACCATTTCACTGTGGCAACTGCACCATTTATTTAATACGTTAACTGTCGGCAAGCATTTCAGTTGTCCTAGGTTTTGAAATAGTAGCTTTTGTAGTGAATAGTGTCATATAGCCCATGTCCAAAATGCTTGGGACCAGACCCCACCGTCCTGATTTTAGAGTAACAAGGAACCTTGGTTTTGGAAGAACACATTTGAGGGCACTACATTTGCCTACAGATGAAAGCTGACGTAGTCGTGAAGGTTGAGAATAGTCAGACAGCAAAACTCAGCTACCTAAGACTGAAGAGGACATACCTTGAAGTCTCAGATTGTGCTTCTGGGTGGAAAAAAAAAAAAAATCAAGCAAAGCTGGCCTTAGCTGGATATTGGACTTGAGTCTCAGTGGCCTGGCATGCAAAAAGCCAGTTCCTGAAGATAATTCTGTAAGCAAGGCAGGAGATACAGGTGGCCAGGCAGACACGGGAGACTGGGTGATGTTCCAGGGACGCCGTCCCGGCTGATCTCCATGTGTTTCCGTGCTTCTTACCTGTTGGTTTTTGTTTTCGACAGTGCAGCTCAACAGGGACACGGTGTGCACGCCCTGCACCCTAGGCTTCTTCTCAGACGTCTTTTCATCCACGGACAAATGCAGGCCCTGGACCAAGTAAGTGACCGCACGGAAGCCCCGGGAGGGAGCTGTTGGCCTTCAGCCAGCCAGCCTGCGCGGCTCTGGGTGGAGGGCGGGCAGAGGGCCTTAGCTTTCTGTCAGGAAAGGGAGTGAGCCCAGCAAGCCCGCTGTCGGAGCCAGCGTGCCGGGGCTTTGTGCCACTTTTTAGGTTCAGAAATATATGATGCTCGTTTCCGGCTTCCTTTCACTTTACCTCACCATATTTAGTTGGGAATTATGATTTCTTTGTCTGTGGGGTGTGGGTGTTCTGCTGTGGGTAGAATGTAAGGACTTTGGATGTGCTAGGCATACCCTCTATGGCTGAGTGATGCCCCCAGCCTGAGTTAAACCATTTGCTATCATTCACCACCCTTACACCCCATCATCGATGTTTCAGTCATCTGGAAATATGCTAACTACATTCAGGAACGCACAGGGAATAAATAACCTCACTACAGCAAAACTAAAAGTAGCCAAGCAGCTCTTTGATCGCTCACCCCTGATGATGCAGCCTTGCCAGGCCTTGGAGGAAGAGGATCCAGGCAGTCCTGATGAAACTTAACAAGCTGTGGGCAGTTGATAATAGCAGAGAACGCCCCCTTTCAGTGGACTAGGGGAAGAGTATGAGGGGAAAAGGGAGGGAGGGTGGAACTGGGGAAGCTGAGGGAGGGGGCTTCAATCGGGATAAACTGTAAAGAAAAAACAAAAATTAAGAAACGTTAGACCACAGCCATTGCCTGCTTTTTCCTCACAGCTGCACTCTCCTTGGAAGAATTGAGGTACACCAAGGGACGAAAACATCAGATGCGGTCTGCAGCTCTTCTCTGACGTCAAGGAAACCACCCAAGGGTAGGATGAGCAGAGCCGGTGGGGTGGCACGTGGGCCCCGGGTGGTCTCCCCAGAATGATGAGCTGTATCTGCAGAGATTCGCTTGTACTTTTCAGCTCGTTCTGCCTCCCGTCATCTTTGTATTCTTTTCGTCAGCATTTTACTTTACTGCTTAAAGGATTTATTCTTCTTTGTTTTACGTGTATGGATGTTGGCTACATTTATGCTTATGGGCTACCTAGGTGAGTTGCTCAAGAAGGCTGGAAGAAGGCATAGGATGCTCTGGCACTGGAGCTGCAGACACTTGTGAGCTGCCATGTGGGTGCTGGGAACCTTAGTCCAGTTCCTCTGGAAGAGCAGCCATTTAACTGCTGAGCCATCTCTCCAGCCTCATCACGTTGTTTTGTTTTTAACAGTATAAACTTTTTAAAAAATGCTCGTTTATTTATTTTATGTATTTGGATGTTTTATCTCTATTTTATGCTGCTGTATAACATGCATGCTTGATATCCGAGGGGGCCAGAGAGGGTGTTGGATCTCCTAGGACAGGAGTAACAGACACTCATGTTAGCTACCATGTAGGTGCTGGGAATTGAACCTGGGTCCTCTGGAAGAGCAGCCGGGGCCCTTAACTGCTGAGCCATCTCTTCATTCAGCTCCACCTCCATTGTTTTAATACGTGTTTAAATTTCTTCCCCTTCTTCTCTTTTTTCTTTCCTTCTTCTCTTCCTCTTCCTTCCTCCTTGTCCTCTTTCTTCTTTCTGCTGTAGGTTTGACCCAGCACCTTCCACATGCTGGGCTTTTCTCTTTTGACACTGAGTTAGGGGTAAGCCATTAAGCATAAATGTCAATGCCCATGCATGCTAGAGGGTGACAGTCATAGTGAGAAGATGTGGATCAAGCCAAAGACAGCAACTTGGTAGATTCTGGCTGTGATCATACTGTTTTTAACAGTATGAACTTAAAAAAAAATTATTTATTTTATGATTTGGGTGTTTTGTCTCTATGTTATGCCTCTGCATAACATACATGCTTGATGCGTTGAACACAGTGAGCTAAGCTGTGGAGCAGGTCCTCTGACATCTGGGAACTCTCTGTAGTTGGGGGGCTCCCCACTTCTGTTTACCTAGACACCCCTGTCTTTGATTCTTGGATTATTTACAGGACTTTATCTTTTAATTTGGTAAAATGAATCATCGTTAATGCCATGTTTCCTCCTGACACAGAAGCGCAGGTCTACCTGCCCAGCCTCATCATTCTGCTCCTCTTCGTCTCCGTGGTATTAGTTGCTGCCGTTGTCTTTGGCGTCTACTACAGGAAGGGAGGGAAAGCGCTGACAGGTACTGTGTCTGAAGAGCGGCATTGAGGAACGGGGGTACTTTCCAGGGATGCTTCTTAGGACTTGAGTAGATTGTCCCTGGCTGTCATGGAATCTATTTTTTAATTTTTTTTCTTCATGGGGCTGGAATGATAGCTCGGTGATTAAGAGCCCTGGCTGCTTTCCCAGAGGTCTCTAGTTCAATTCCCGGCACCCATCTGGTATCCCACAACTGTCTTAACTCCAGTTCCAGAGAATACCTGACGTGCTCACACAGACACATGCAGGAAAAACACCAGTGTACATCAAATAAGTAAATACAAATTGTACTTGTGTGTGTTCATGATGTGTGTGTGGGCGGGTCAAAGGACAACTTTGTGGAGCTGGTTCTCTCCTTCCATCTTAAGTGAGTTACAGGGATCAAAACCAGGTTCAGCAAGTAAAGTATGTTTGCACCATAAGAGAAGCATTGTTTTTGTTTCTGATTATTTGTTTTCTGTTAGCAACAATAATGACCAAAACCGAAGGGCAACCTTGTATCTATTTATATATAAGTGAACAATATCTGGCCTTTCTGAAATTACCCACCTGTAACTGCTGAGAGCCCACATTGTCTCTCTGTACAACATTCCACACACAAAGGCTGTAGTTAATTATTTAATTAATGCTGTAATAAAACCCCTTTGAATGCACCCATCTAAAACATAGGCAAATGCTCAGATAAGTGGCTGGCTTGGGGAAGTTTTGATTGTGATACTATTTTGAAATGTGAATCTCAAATTATGACAATAGACGACTTTATGTTTTTGGAATTTAGAGGCTAATTTTTGAAGTAAAGAAACCAGTGTTACTTCATTTCTTAGGGATATCTACAAAATGTTTGATCGTGTTTTTAAACACCACACCATGCTTGATTTTTCTATGACATTGCTAAAATAAAAAGGCATTAATTAGGTTTTTCTTCGTATAATCATGATTATTTAATTTTTTTATTTATTGTGTGTTAGGGGAGGGGCGTAAGGGGGGGCAGCAAACTCAGGTTCAGGAAGTGAAGCACACCCTGCTGAGCCACATGCTTGCAGTCTTGGCACTCAGAGGGCTGGCACAGGAGATGTTTAAGGCCTACCTGGGGAACACAGGGACAGCCTGTCTTTAAAACCAAAAGTCCAAGGTCTGAGGCTATGCCCAGCGATAGGTAACGTGCTTGCCTAGCATAAGGAAGGCTCTGGATTGATATCCTCAGCACTGGTGATGGGGGTGGGGAGAAGAAAGAGAAAGAAGGGGAAAGAGAACAGAAAAGAGAGTGTGTGTAGTGGGGTTGGGTGGGGGGAAGGGAGGAGAAGAGGAAAGGGAAGGGGAGAGGAAAGAGGGGCTGAAGTCCATGGAAGCCAAGCGTTTATAATCCAGAGGTTCAGACAATGAGTTGTTGGAGGAAGCCTGAGGAAAGTGTTGAGTCTATATTTTGTCCAGTGTGAGATGGCAGGAGCCATTACCAGAGTGTCCTGGAAGGGGATGCTTCTTCACTTCACACCTGTAATTGAGCTGGGAGAGTAAAAGGGCATCCCTTGAGCAATCTGGCCTGCTAGATTATCTGCACTTGTGAACTAGGGTTTAAGTGAGGCAGCTTGTTGAAGTATAGAAAGTGAAGAATAATTCGTGAAGTTACCTAGTGTCAAACACACACACACATACACACACACACACACACACACACACACACACACACACACCACACATACACACACACACACACGTGAACATGGATTTGCATATGCATGCACAGCACACATACATACAAACATACATTCATACATGCTTGCACACGTCATAGATATAGACAAACAACACCATAAGAAGACGCAGCTTCTGACTTCAGTCTTAACAATGAAGAAAACATTGGCTTTTCATAAGGGATGGGGTAAAACTTTACCTCTGTATAATACTGCCCAGGATGCATCGTCTTTGTCCTCCTACCATGGTTCCTCCTACCTTGCTTCCTCAGGGTACAGTAAAATTGCGAAGGGAATGGGAATGTCTGTAGCCTAACAGCACTGTGACAGACCCAGGTGTATCATTGGTACTCAGTGGATTACTGCTGGGTATCCAAGTTTGGTTCATCTTGCTGTGATAGACACCATGACGAAAGTAACTTAGAAGGGAAAGGTGTTTTGTTTTTTTTTTTTTGTTTTTTTTTTTTTTTTTTTTTGCTTTCTGTTTGTCTTTCCATCTTATGCTTTACTGTTCCAAAGTCAGGGCAGGAGCTCAGGGCAGGAGCCTGGAGGAAGAAACTGGAGCAGAGGCCATGGAGCAGTGCTGCTTAACTGGCTTCTTCCCTGTGGCGCACTCAGCTGCCTTTCTTTTAAAAATCTTTTAACATTTATCTTCTGTGTATGGGCATTTGGTCTGCATGTGAGTCTGGGCAGCACAGTGTGCCCACTAACTACAGAAGCCAGAAGAAGGCATTGGATGTTCCAGATGATTGTGAGACCACGCTTAGGTGCTGGGAGTTGAGCCCAGATCATCTGGAAGAGCAGCCAGAGATGGCCCCATCTCTGCAGCGCCTCAGCTACAGGTTTAATACAGCCCTGGACCTCCTGCCCAGTCATGGCACTGCTCACAGTAGGCTAGGCCCTCCCTCTCAATCCACAACCAAGAAAATGCCCCACAGACAGTCCACGGGCCAATCTGATGGCAGCGATTCCTCTGCTCGAGGGTCCCTCTCCCCAGGTCTCTAGCTGTGTCAGGTTCACAACACCTAAGTTGGACGGTGTTTTTCTCTCTACAGATCAGCACATCTGTCTTTGTTAAGAAGTAAGACGCCTTCAAAGGCTTTAAATCAGTTGATTTATTAGTTGATTGGTTTATTCCTACCCCTGTGCTGGGGTTCAAACCCAGGTCTTTGCTTTTGTTAAGCAGGCTATGCCACCAAGCCTAGCTACACCTACGGTGAGGATGGAACACACACACACACACACACACACACACACACACCAGCTCTGGCTGCACTATAATCCAATACTTTCACTCAGGAATGCTAATACCTTGCAGTGGGCCTGTTCATAGAGAACAGTGTACATTGAGAGAAAGCCACATGCACAGAGGCAGAGAATAAGTGATGAGCAGGGGCAGGAAAAAGGACAAGGGGGTGGAGGTCAGAGATCATAGAAGCAGATGTGTAGGATAAGTGTGCTCAGAGATGATACTGCGCTGTGTGAGAAGTTTTGCTAACTAAGTCAACTTCTTGCCACACACACACACACAAAATCACAATTAGACACGATGGATAACCTAACCCGTTTTATTATGGTAACCGCTTTGCCACCCACACTTTTCCTGTAACGTCATGTTGTATAAGTTAAATGCATAAAATAAAATTTACATTAAAAATAAGTAGAAAATTATAACGTAAAGCTCTCGTCTTTGCTTTGTTTTCCCCCCCAGCTAATTTGTGGAACTGGGTCAATGGCGCTTGCAGTAGCCTAAGCGGAAATAAGGTAAAAGTGTCTAATGCCTCCTTTAAGTACTGCCTCCAGCTCTAGAGTGGAGCGCTCTGCTTACAGGCAGTTAAGCCTCCAGTCCCAGCACGGATCCCTGCTGAGTAAGTCAGCACCTGGTGTCCTCATTATACCCCATTCCCACCCTCCTGCTGAGCCTCAGGCTGGAAGCTGAGTGCTCTCTGCTCATGCCTAGGCAAGCATGCCACCCCTGAGCCACATGATAGTCTCTGCTCCAATTCTGTTGTCTCTGTTTCCAGAACTGACCTTGATCACCTAGTACAGACTCCTAGGAGGAACCATTTATGACTTTTCTGTACTCTGTTGTTACTTAATGAATCTTCGACTTTGATATAGTTTCAAATTTTATTGGAGACTGTTAAGACTATTGCAATGAAAGTCCTGATAATGGTGCCCAAATTCATCAGGGGCTTACACTTTGTCTCGTGGGTTTACTCTTCTGGGATCCCCATGGGGTGAATAGAGATGGTGTATTCCTTGGTTTCTAAATATCTAGGTGTACATTATGAACAAACAGTCTTTGTCTAAGAGTAAACTTACCGAAGGAAAAAATCGAAACAAACAAACAAAAAGCATCTGTGCCTGGGGAAATGACTCAGTGCTTAAGAGCGTGCACAGTGCTCCCAGAGGGCCCAAGTTCAGTCCTTACTGCGTCAGGCAGCTCACAGCCACAGGGGGTGACAATGTGTAACTGCAACTCAAGGGCATCCTATGCCCTCTCCTGGCCTCCTCCGGTAATACCATAAACACACACACACACACACACACCCTAAAAATAAGGATAATTTTTTTTTTAAAAGAAAGCAATGAATGCTCATGTTCTGCTCACTTTCTCCTTTAAAGTAAGTAAATACACAAATGAATACATACATTCACTCAGCGGCGGCACTGTTATGTAGCTCAGTTGAAAGAGTGCCTGTCACCAAGCAGGCACAAAACCCTGAGTTCCACCCCAGCATTGAATAAACTGGGCGTGGTGGCACTTGCCTTTAATCCACACACCTGGGAGGTAGAGGCAGGAGGACCAGAAGTTCTGTCATCCTGTACTTCATAATAAGGCAGCCTCAGCGACGTAAGACCCTGTCTCAAAACTCCAAGGCAAAACAACCAAAACTTAACAGAGACTTGACTATTTTCCAACCCACATTTGATGTTAAGATGCTAATTATTCTAGTTTGTCTTTTGTATCTGTTCTCAAGTATGAAATATATCAATTGCAGACATTCGACTGGTTTCTATAACTGGGCTCCAGTATGGATTTGTTGTCATCTTTTCCTGAATTACACCCGACTCCTTTCATTCTGAATAGGCTTGCTCATTGCCCGAATTATAGGATGCACAGAACTGATCTATGCCACAGGCAAAGCTATGGCCTGCAATTCAGGGCTTGGTTGCATGTCATTGTTGCTGTTATAGACATGTCATGTTCAGCTCTTACTTGGGCTAGCTTGTACAGGTGTGCAGATGCTATTCCCTGTGGTATAGCTGGTTGTGCCCCTTTCTAGACTTCTCCTGCATTCTCTAATTTTAAGCAGCATAAATAAAGCCGTAGAGTATGGGGCACCTGTACTTGCCAGGGTGGAAACAGTTTGTAGCAACACTTTTTCCAGCAGTGCTTAGGCGAACATGTTGTGCTGACTCTGCATATTAAGGTCTTTTGCTTTCTGAACTCACATCCCCAGGGGTCCTCGGGAGACCGCTGCACTGGTCCCCACTCAGCAACGTCCAGTCAGCAGGAAGTGTGTGAAGGTATCTTACTAATGACGCTGGAGGAGAAGACGGTTCCAGAAGACATGTGCTATCTAGAAGATGGTGCTGCTGGAGTCTGTGGGCCCGGGTGTGCAGCAGCAGGGACCTGTGTGGAAGGTGGAGGTGACGGGATGTTCACGCTGGTCAGTGAGGTTGAGACGCAGGGGGACCTCTCAAGGAAGATTCCCACAGAGGATGAGTACACAGACAGGCCCTCACAGCCTGCTGCTGCTTCACTGTTCCTGATCCAGCCTGGAAGCAAGTCCACACCCCCTTTCCAGGAGCCCTTGGAAGTGGGGGAGAATGACAGTTTAAGCCAGTGTTTCACAGGGACCGAGAGCACAGTGGATTCTGAAGGCTGTTACTTCACTGAGCCTCCATGCAGGACTGATTGTACGCCTGTGTCCCCCGAAAAATACTTGAAAAAAGAAATTGAGGGTGACAGTTACCTGCCCTGGGTGGCCAGCTCCAACTCAACGGATGGCTACACGGGCAGTGGGAACATTCCGGGGGAGGACCATGAACCCCCTACGGGGTCCCTGAAATGTGGACCATTACCCCAGTGTGCCTACAGCATGGGCCTTCCCAGTGAAGCAGCAGCCAGCATGGCAGAGGCGGGAGAGCAGCCTCAGGACAAGGCTGACAGGCTTCCAAGCTCGGAGAGGGGAGCCTCGGGGTCTGGGAGTTCCCCCGGTAACCAGCCACCTGCATCTGGTGAGTAACTTCCCTAGGCCCCTGCTTTTGAGCAGAAAGGCCCGTCTTGGGTAAAGGGTTGAGAAGCATGTTTCACATGAGAAACACACAGCCCAACTCCTTTCTTTGCCGAGAGTCTTTATACACAGTCTTTAGAGCCCAGGCTGGCTCTAAACTCACTATGCATGGTTAGGACGACTTTGAACTCTTTTTCCTTCTAACTCCATCTTTCCTTTACTGTCCTTATGGGTGTAGGACATCACACCTGGCTTACTGGGGCTTCGTGAATGTTGGTCAAACATTCTACCAACTGAGCATATTTCTAGCCTTTAGCTAAGCATCTTTACAAGGCTGTGCATTGCACTGTGGGCTGTATTGGCTGCTATTGTGACATCCTCCACTGGCAAGACTGCCCCTGCTCTCAGGTATGCCTGAGCCCTCTGCCTTCAGGCTTCTCCTGGTTGGGTTTGTGGTTGGTCCTTCAACCACAAAACCAAACCTCAAAAGGCTAAGTCAACAGTTATTTTAGGAGTGGCTGTATCATAGCATTCCCTAACATTAGGAAGTTGAGGCGGTAAAAGAAACTTGTGCTTCGAAATCTCGGGAAAAACAAACTGTTTAATTATCTTTAATTATTTATTTGAGTAGCAAGTTAATGATGCAGTAAAAGTGTCCTCTGTTATTGTATGAGAAAAGCCTTTTATAACTACCACATTTAATATATTTATAAAACCCAGATGATAATTTACAACTTAGCATCATTATAGAGATTTATTGCTGCAACATTGCTTGATCACAAACAACCCACCAATGATAATATTATGACTTTATCTTTGGCCTGAGGGTAGAACACCATCTGTTAAAAAGTTATGTAGTTACAGAGGACTTCAAAGCTGAGAGTGAGAGTGTCCTTGGACTTTGGGTATCATTAGCCTGGTCAGAGGTAGGCAGTTCACTGAGGATCTTTTGGAAGCCCTAAACATTCTCCAGAAGAAAACAAAAAAACATGCAACAACAAATAAGAGATGGATATGTACCAGTTCAAAGGCTCCTCAGATTCCCCCAGCTCTCGGAAGGAAAAAAGGAAGGAAGGAAGGAAGGAAGGAAGGAAGGAAGGAAGGAAGGAAGGAAGGAAGGAAGGAAGGAAGGAAGCCCCTTTTGGAGCAGCCCTTGCAAAAGTTGCCTTTCCTTCCTGGCTCTTCATTGGAACTGCAAGTGGTGCAGTTTATAATACAGCGGTGGCAGATTGAAGCCTAAAGCACAAAGGCTGTTTTTGGCACAAGGTAATATTGATTCCTGGCTTGACTGCTAGAACAGTGTGTTTTCTTGTCTCCCAGGCACTGTGGTCCATTGTAAACACACAAACATTCTAGGTGCTGAAAGGACTGATGTTATTTTTCCCTTCAAGACCCTAGAACTTAAAACAAACAAATAAACAAAAGTGTGCATGAGAGAAAGCGGGGAAGGGCGAGACAGAGAATCATGAAACCAAAGCCATGCTTTGTTCTTTTATCAGAGCAAAAATAGCAGCCTGGTGTATCTGTCGTTAGCTTTACCCCTTAAACGCTGAACAGCTAGGCAGAAAAGAAAGGAATAGATTGTGTGTCATCAGCAGACAGTGTTAATTTGCAAGAAATTGGCACTGCGTTTTCCGTGTCTGATGTTTAACCATGCAGAACATCAGAAGAGGGCCAGCCAGCTCAGCAGCCGAGAGCAGGCCAAATTAATTCTTGCCTGAGGAGAGGCAGCAGCCAGATTGATTTTTAAGGCCATTCCATTCTCTCCATAATTACTTCTGTATGAACAGTTCTTATGGTAAAAATAATGTATTCTTAGCTTTTCAAACAATGTCATCATAACTCAGACTCTAAAATGTGAGTGAAAGAGGGTGATGCTTGGGGAAAGAGAGGGACCCCATCCTATCCTCCTGCAAGGCAGTGTGCCCTTGGGGCTAAAGGAGGTGGCCTCTCTGTCTGGGATTTTGAGTTTATGCCAGTGTATTATTTTGTTTACTTAAACTGAGAGCCAAATCAATCGGTTTCCGGGAAAAGGAAGTAACTGAGGACCTCTGGAGGGAAGACTATCATGCCACCACCTTTTTCTTTTTTTTAACTACACTATATCTAGTGTGGGTGTTCATGTGTGCGTGTGCATACACATGCCCCATGGCTCCTGTGTAGAAGCCAGCTTTTGGCAATCTGTTCTGTCCTTCCACCATGTGAGTCTGGGGGATCAACCTCTGGCTGCCAGGCTTGGCAATATGTACCTTTACCTGGTGAGCCATAACTGCAGCGTATGCTACCGGCTTTTTATAGAGAGCATGAATAGCTGATCAAACAGCTCCACAAGTAGAGACAATTTTAAAAATACCTACTTTTTAAAATAGGTTGTTAAGTCCATTCTAGTGCTGTTCTAACTCTTAACGAAGAGTAAGAATTGCCACGAGAGACCTATGAAGGGGAAAGCATGCTTTGGGTTGTGTTAAACAACCGAGCGTCAGTTCTTATGTGATGCTTAATTCTGAGCTCATGATGGTTACCTTGGTTACAAGCCCTCTACCTTAACTACTATTACATTTCTGTGAAGAGAAACCAAGACCAACACAACTGATAATTTAATTGGAGGCTTGCTTACAATTTTAGAGTTTCATGATCATGGTGGGTATCATGGTGACAGGCAGACAGCCATGGCCCCGGAGCAGTAGCTGAGAGCTTACATCCTGGTCTACATGCAGGAGGCAGAGAGAGAGAGAGAGAGAGAGAGAGAGAGAGAGAGAGAGAGAGAGACTGGACCTGACATCAGCTTTTGTTACCTCAAAGCCTACTCCTAATAACATACCTCCTCAAACAAGGCCACACCTTCTCCAACAAGGCTTCATCTCCTAATTCTTCCCAATAGACCATCAAATGGGAACCAACATTCAAATAGATGAGCTTATTGGGACCGTTATTATTCCAACCGCAACCACAACATTCTACCCCCTGGCCCCCATAGACTTGTAGCCATAACATAATAAAAAGTGCATTCAGTCCAGCTTCAAAGTCCCCGTAGTTTATCACGGTCACACCTGTTTAAAAGTCCAAGGACCCAAGAAGATTTCTCAACTGTAACCCCTGTAAAAGCAGAGACGGGTCACATGCTTCTGACACAGAGTGTCACAGAATATGCAACACCATTCCAAAAGGGAGGAAAATAGTCAACGTGAGGAGATACTGATCCAAAGCAAGACTGAAACCCAGCAGGGCAAAGTCCAGATCCTGTAGCTTCATGTCTGATGGCAAAGAGCTTGATAGTGGTTCTCCCATTCCTCTTAGCTTTGTAGGCTGCAAAACTTCTCTCCTTGGGCTGGCTCAACACCCTGGATGCATCTTTCCTTGGTAGATGTCCCATGGGTCTGGTATGTCCAACATCTTGGGTTCTCCAGCATAATCAGGCTTCACAGTTTCACACAGTGACCTCTTTGGACCCCACGCAGGGACTCCCTTTTCACGTGGAAGGCTCCACAAGCCCTTTATGCCTGCACTCTTTAAGTCCAGAACTGCATGGCCGCCTCTGGAAGCTAGTCCTTCTATTCACATTGACTTTCCTTTGTTGTACTCTTTAGGAACCGATAACTCCTTAGGCTTGTTCTTTTCACAGATTTCTGGATTAGCTGAGTTGGGTCTTGCCCTGAGGGCACCTCTTCATTTATTCCGCTTAGCAGTAGGCCTTTGTTTTAAACTTCTCATCTCCTTGAGCACAAGGCTTGGTCTCAACATTACACTTCCTGGTGTTCTTTTTCTCCTCAAACTGTGTATTTTGTATTTCTTTTTTGCCTTGCTTGCTCTTTTTCATTATAGATCTGCATAAGAGTGATCATTAATAAGCACACGACATGGTCAGTACTAGGCTTTCTTGCAATCCTGTGTGATGACATTAGTCTAAAAGTCTTCCTTTTGCCTCCAGCAGATTTTTAGGCCAAGTGCATAGAGCAGCCACATTCTTTACCACAATATTATAAGAGCAGTCTGTACCCCAGCCACTAATATTGTTATCCGCTGAAACCTCCTGAGGTGGATCTCCACAGTCCACATTGCTCTTCCAAGTTCCTACTAGGTTGCCTGTTAAACCCCACTGACAGCATCCAATCACTTTTCTAGTACAAAGTCCCAACGTCTTTCCAGTCCTCCAAGTAGCCTAGTCAGGCCTGTCACAGTAACACTCCAGGCCTTGTTTCCAGCTTTGTTCTTAGTCACTGTTCTGTTGCTGTGAAGAGACACCATCACCATGACCAAAGGAATTTGTTTAAGGAAGCATTTAATTGGGATTTGCTGTAGTTTCAAAGGGTTAGCCCATGATCATCATGGTGAGAAGTGTGGTGGCAAGCTGGCACAAGACAAAAGTTAAGAGGCTTTGTGAGCAGGAGGCAGAAAGAGAGCAAGAGAGGGACTGGGCCTGATGTGGGCTTTTGAAACCCAGTGGCCCTCCTCCTTCAACAAAGCCACACCTCCTAGTCCTTCCTAAATAGTTCACTGAGAACCAAGCATTCAAGCCTATGAGCCTACGGGGCATTCTCATCCAGACCACCACACCCTCTTACCAGGAATTAGGAGATTTTTCACTGTCCTACTAGAGAGTTGTTATCCTAGAGGAATGAAATAACAGCTGCTGTGTT